TGGCCCAGAAAGTGTCCTGGTTCAGGTTCTGGTGCTTTACCCCAGCACTTGAAGAAGGCCAAACTTAGCAACTAAAGCAAAACAACTTAGTAGGGGACCAGACTCCCATCAACAATAGATGGTAGAGATCTCACTGGCCTGTAGACCACACGCTCTTTGAATAGTTGGAAATACTGCCATCAAAAAAAGTTCCGGCATATGCAACTTCGTGGATGACGTTTGAGATTTTCTCAATTTTTCGAGTTTTCTTTCAGCCGTAACAATACTGGTTATCATTACTATCATGATCAATGATTGTGTGTTTCTGGATCAATATTGTACAGATTACCACTCAGCGATATCCAACCGTAATCCGATCGATCGCCTTTGGATCGCTTCACTCGATAAAGTCAGTCAGGTGTTAGCAGTTTCAGTAAATTTCTGTAGATCACTTGAGTTTCTCCTTCTAGACATATCGGATCGATCGTTTGCCTCATTTTTGTCACGCCACTACTGACCTCCTGGACCGTTGGAGCTTTCGTGATTCCGGAGATTCTGATTGTTGTCACACTCATTTTCGGACTCTTCCTTCAACCCGAAACAAAAGGGAAAGCGCTCATGGATCAAATGGTCGAGGCAAACTACGGACGGCTTGAGAACGAATTGCCTAGAGCGCTGATCAGGTACGGTATCGTAATAGCTACAAAAAATAGTGGCAGGACCTCCTGAACGAGACTTTCAGGCTGGCTGCTGGCCACAAAGTGGCGCAGATGGAAGCAAGAGAGAAATATCGCAAAGATTTCGAAGCAGCCCAAGCTGCTAAACGAGCTGGAAAGGACGTGTCCAGCCCGTGGGCATTCAAGGTAGGAATCCATTTCTGGTGTATGGAAAATGGCACTGTATCAACTGATTCCTTACCTGAGGTAGAGCAGTTCCACAAGTGCACTTGCGCGTAATTACCAGGCAGTAGTACGCGACCGCGCGCGGCTGAACTTGTGATCCCTGCCATGGTCACTATTCGCGATTGGATATCTAGCGCTTTGATTGTTCACATAATTCTAAGGAACCTACTCCATCTACACGTCCTACGGCTATCGGACAGGGAGCTGGATACGAATACCAGGCAAAATCAGAGGAAGCTCAGTTGTAGGTTTCCGTTCTTCAGAATGTGTAATACCTCTTTACAGAACTTCCTTCGAACCTTTAAATGACCCTGTTTCAGAAATCATCATACCAATGAGGCTTTCGACAGCGATGATGACCGCCTTGAGGCCGACGAGCATGTATACGATGACTTTTGCGAAATGATTTGTAAATATATAATAGAAATAAAGCATACACAAGTTGTTCTTGACATTTCTGATCATGAGAGCGAACTCAAGTAACAAAACAAGCGACTCTGGAAGCGCTATATGACTTATAGAAGTGGACGGGTACTGGCAGACGCGACGACTTCCAGAAGACCTGGAGACGTCAGTCATTGTTTCTTGCTGTTTTCCTGCTAGTCCTCAAAAGCCTACTCCTACTTGGGAACGAAGCGAGCTCGAGTGCACAGACTACACACACAAGTGACGATGTGGCGTGTGGTCTGCACCTCAACCCTCTTCCCTTCCGAAATAGAAGCCCTTCCCAATTTCTGCATGCAGCAATATCGAGACATTTTTGAAACACGTTTAGTTTCAGCGCTGCAGTTATTGCGGCATCTTTTGGGTATATTTATTACGAGATTTTTCGACATGCTGACAAAACTAATATTTTTTTAGAGCGGCTACTGATCAGAGAGCCCAGACGGGCGCAATCTCGTAACATGAAATACTCTAGAAGGCAGCAATGACTGTAGGTCGTGAAGGGTTTACAGGAGTTTTGGGGGTACTCAGTGGTAGGCCACTAGCAAAAAAAAACCAGAGAAATGTATCAAGAAAAGCAAAATGCACCCCTTTGCGTAGCTGTTGTTCGAATCCTTTACGCGAAAGAAGCTTTTTTTTTCAGTTCTTTTCGTTCTCATCGCGAACCGTGGGTCTCAAGCCAGTGAATTATAAGTGAGGTCGAATCACGATTTTTCCGTGGGCGATCGTTTTGAGGAAGAAACGTTCCGCTCTGGAAGCGATATTGACAGTTAAGCCTCCAAAAAAATGTAAAGAGGCGAAGGTGGAGCAGCGTGATCGCAGACTACCAAAGGTAGTTGGGCCTCTTACATGATGTTATTTTTGTCATCGTGCCGCCTTTATTTTTCCAAAATTTGCTGCAATTAATGTCCAGAGACAATATACACTCACACCGTCTACGACGCAGAATTGTCATCATCAGCTATGCTTCTCAGCAGTACAGCGCTGTTATTCATGTCGGTGAGCCAACTTTCGCCTTGCTTTGAAGCCTACCATATAGATTTACTCGGATGGTCCACTTGTTAGCGAGGTCTAAATTCAATGAAAACCCTATATGGGCGTCGTTGCTCGTAGTCTTTGTTCCTAGAATAATCGGTACAATTCCTTGCATCTCCTACAAAAGATGCTAGTCGAAGATTACGATCACGGATCCAGGTGGAGGCATACAAAAATTGGTAGAAAACATGTCAGATCGGCTCCTCAAGGTGCTATGCAGGGCATGGCGAATCCGGTGGCCTGCATATCTATATATTTACAATACAGTACTAATATGACTGTGGAGTGCTAGGGAAGATTTTTACTGAAGTGAAAAAATTGTCAAAATTTCTGTTATGTCGTATAGTTTTGCAACGGCCATTTTTTCATTTTTTTGACCCTAGATTTCTGGAAGTTGACAGAACTGCTTGGAGATTCTCTGTTATAGGTTTCTTTACACGCCGAATCGAATGGCATTACCCATTTTGTGCTATGTTTCTCGTAACTTCAGAAACCCAAAATTTGGGGTATGTCGTATAGTTTTGCAACGGAGTGTAGATCCCCAGCAGGCGTATGACCGTATCGCATTCGAGCGCAATCCCTGCTCGCCAAGAGAAGGCAATCCTTCTAGGAAAAAAAGGAAGCTGGACTCCGTATAGGTCTCGAAGGGACCGACAGGAATGGCCGTTGTGTGGCACGAAGCAGAGTTAGCGGGGCGAGTCGTTGCATGTGCGATGCAGGACGTTTACTTACCGTTCATGGTACTTTTCCTTATTTAACTTAACGAAATTACTACAACGCACTGCGACTCGTCCACTGACTCTGCCTTCTTGCCGCGCGACGGGCCTCCTGTCGGGTACCCGGGATCAAATAATCCATCTAAAAAATTAATGGTGTTTGATAATGAATTCGATCCCGGGAAAACGAATCAGGAGTTTGGAAGCGACACCAGATTACGTCCTACCCTTCCCTTTCACGCGATTCAAAGCGAACAATAATCATCCACTAATTTTTCATTCTGAAAATAAGAACTATACCATCCTTCCTCTTCTTCTTCTCTCTAGAGTTAGTCCTAGTTCCGTTATAGAGTTATAACATGTTAGTCCTAGTTCCGTTATAAGAGGTATAACATGTTTATAACAAACAACAAGAGAAATTATGTACAAGAGTCAAAAATTACCGCTAAACCTCAAAAAAAAAAACATTCAAAGAAATATAGCAGGTGCAGGGAAGCTAACGAGACCTGCTATCAACGCATTATGGCTAAAAACAATGGAATACCGCTTAGCAAATGTACCGCCAGAAGCAGGCAGAGCATACAAGAACCTAGACATCTTTCCTTTCCTCAGCATCTTCAGGCGGCTTAAGAATTATTTCACGGAACTCTATCGTGTGTTCTGGATACATGCGATAAATCATAACCGTCACGACTTTCACATTGTTTGCGTTTGGATAGCTGGTCAGATAATACGCTGTTACATCCATTCGATGCTTCACCAGTAAGTGCAAATAGTACCTGGAAAAAAATGATGTTTACCGGTCCAACTGAAACAATCGTGAGAAATTATCGGATACGTTCTAAAACATTCTTACACAGTGACAAAAATTATGCAAAAATTGCCGAAGAATTACAAGGAGAAACTCCGAGATGAATGATGCCCACGGCGATACATCAAATATGCAGCCATCTTTCTTAAAGTAGGACTTTTTAAGAACAGGTCATGCGCGGGTCGGCCATCCGTTGTTCCAATTCCGAAAAGACGACCCCTCTCAGGGGGGGGGGGGTTCGATACGACCATTCACCACCATTTCAGCCTTAGGGGAGTCCCCCGATACCAACCCCCCTACCTGACACACTAAGCTCTCCATGGCTGTTTCCATGGTACTTGATTCTGTGACCAGTGGACACGTACACTCGAACTCTACAAACCTTTCCCTCCAAGTACTTTCCGTCGAGCAGACAGGTGGGCGGGGGTGGGGTGTGGATTTGTGTAACGAACCGGCGAAATCCTCGAATTTCAACCATTTCATGCTTGTTAATTCAAACTTCCTCGAAATATTCAAGAGAAAACCCTTTGAGTCGACTTCCATCAGCCGTTACCACGACCCTTCCAAGCTTAAAACGACTAGATACGCGAACTTTTTGACCCTCATCGACCCCATATAACCCCCTCTTAAACTCTTTACCCACTTGCTGAAATTGATGATACATTTGATGATACACGCATGAACCTGCTCAAGTCACTGGATTCTGCACCGCTTATCAAGGCTAACGCTGCCATGAATGTGAAGTGGAAGTTGCCACTTTGCTATTTTCTTATCCCATTCAAACGCCCAAGGTAGTGTTGAATAGGGGTATGAATAGTGTAAAGTGGTGTCATTTAAAAGGAATACGTTTATCTGGATTTAGGACTATCTGAAAGCGATCCAGAACTAGCGGGAAAAACGATCACATGAAAATTGAGAGCGACATGGAAATTCGAGGGAGTAGTGAAGGAAGCGAGAAACCTACAGCCTTCGCTGTCCATCTTTTAAGTTGAGCAGTCCCACTTGCCTTCACGTACGCCTTACACACTTAGACTCAGGCAGGAAGGCCCAGCGTACGAAGTGTGCTTTGGAAGCACAAGATCTCGGGTTTTCTTTCAATCAAGAAAAAGGAACGAAAGAGGGAAAGAACCCTGAGTTCCAAACTCCTTCAACGACCGAAAGCTAGGAAAGGTGCCGCATGCCGATCGATCGAAAAAAGAAAGGGCGATTTTGCGAGCCAGAGCGGTTACCAAATGTATTCCACGGAACGTCAAACAAACACCAAGACAACCATCGAACCCATAGTCAGACTGCTGAGCGAGAACTCTACACGAAGACAGAGACGCCCAGTGTCTTTCGAGCAAAAGAAACATACTTTCGTACTCGATAGGGACAAATGGATAGGTTTCCTATACCCGCTAGGATAGCTCGATGAGCTACGGGACGACAAACAGTACAGATCATTTTGCGGAAAAAGGCCCAAAATTTATTTGAGAAAAGCGATATAAACATTCGGCATTGTCAAGTTGATAGCACGTGTAGTATTCTAGAGTAGACAGACAGGCAGGAGGACAGAGATGTAAGGAAACTCGTACTGTTGAACCTAATGCACCATCTTCCCTTCTCTCCCCCCCCCCCCCTTTCCCTCAACACACAGTTCTGACTGGATCGACTAATTTCTAATTATTACACACTTCAGAATGACGAGGAGCAATTTTTCAAAAACGAGAGTAGTACTTACTGGGTTGGAAAATCGAAGTTCACATCACACACGTTGCATTTCTCCCCTGTAAGCTGTGTCTCCGTAGCGATAAATTTATCATCCTCGTAGAAATGCAGTTTTACATCTAAGACACTGCCGCCATGATCCACAACTAAACACAATTAACATAATCACGAACGATTTACTCTATATTTTCAAGTGTTGAAAAAACCGTTCGAAATTTTCGATCACTCACTGTGCTCTATGGCATCCACGGGATGCTCAAGTGACTCCCCTGTGCTGCAGTAGGGACATTTTTCCTTTGGCAATGGGCCAATAGAGAACCCAGAGGCAGTTTCCCGTGGCAGCACTGGTCTTGGTGGTGGGGGTGGTTGCGGTGGTGTTGATGTGCTTGGCTCATCTGCTGTCGTCGGCGATACGAGTGGAGTTGAAATCGAATCTGTAAACCGGTCTCTAGGAATAATAGAGGAACTATGAAGATTATGAAATGCTCCTTGGGGAGAAAGAGAGTAAAATGAAACTCCACCTCTGCTCGGTGGCTTGCGCTTCGCTATGGGAATGGCATGATCTCTCATTGCAGCCATCGCTGCGTGTTCGTCCTATAAAAGTATAGATTTTCGTAGCGCTCTAGCTGAGGTACGTAATCGATGCTTTCGCATGCTAACATCATGATTGTCTGGGAGAAAAGGAAGGGCGCAATCAAAGAAAAAATACAAAAAGGAAGGCAAATATCCAGCGCTGAAAATGCAATAAAAATCTTATCAAAAATAAAAAC